GGGGGGCGCCGGGGATGGTGCGCCGCTTGGGAAGCGCGGCGGCGCTCCCGCCTGAGGGTTCGGATCCCACATGCGGACCGGTTCCCGCTCACTGGCTGAGCGGGGTGCGGGGGCGGCGCAGAGGGTTGCGATCCCGTTGCCGGTCCCCGGTCCGGTACGGGGGCAACACTGAGGGTTGCGATCCGTGGCCGGACACGGAAAAAGACAAAAGACAAAAAAAAAAAAAAAGAGAGGGGTTTTAAGAGGGTTATTAATTCTTGTGGCCAAATCAATTCTGTGGAATAGAGAAAGATACACTTTTCCCTATGTGTAAAACCCAAAGTTCAGAACTGCCTTTGCTTTTGCACTAAGTATATCAGAGTCAAAAAACACTTTGCAAAAATTAAAGCTGAAGGTTTTCTTCACTGATTCGAAGGGCTCCTCTAGAATTTCATTTGCTGGAAGCTCCACTTAAATATGGCAAGAGTTTCCCAAGGTATAAAAATCCTCCCTGGTTCTAACAAGTACTGAAACATTGACTAAGTCCTATATGTCCCAGTTGATGATCTTAGCTATTAACATAAACAGGGAAAATTTCTATCTTGACTTTCACTATAGTGAAAACAAAGCCAGACAAAGAAAGTGCTCAGTGTCTGAGCTTTGGTTACTATCACCATTTAATAGAGTTGAACCCTACTGTGGCTTTAACACTATAAGTTCTAAATGTGTTGCTGAAAGAGACTCACTTCACTTTTAGTTTAAGTGTCATCTCCTTAGGCCTTGCCTGATCATCTGATCCAAAGTAGCCCCAGTCCCTCTCACAACACATCTGAATTTTCTACACATCACATCACAGCCCAATATTTTTCTTGTTCATTCACTGCCTTATTTCCTAATAGAATGTAAGCTCTATGAAAAAACAGATCTTGTCTTTGCCTAAATCAGTGCCTGACACCTAGTATATCCTCAACAAATATTTGTTAAATTAGTGCATTTTAGCTTTTACTCCCTTGTTCTGACCCTCCCCACACTGTATTTAAAATCCAAGGCTTCAAATCAGGATCTACAGATAATGGGAATTAGGGAAGCCCAGCTGACCCTTGGCTTGGATCCACAGCGATGGCACGGGGATTCACCAGATCTGTGTAGAACAGGGCTCTGCGCTCAGAGCCATCCAGCTTGGCCCTCTCTATTCTATCCAGGACACTGTCTGTCCAGTACATTGTTCTATGGAAGTGGTCGACGGCGAGTCCTTCGGGGCTTATCAGACCTGGAAATAAACCAAAGGCAGGACTGAAGTATTTGCAGGGTGTGAAGAGTGAACTTGACACAGAGAAATCTGTTATGTTTGAACAGCTTTAAAAAAAAAAAAAGTGCGTGAGAGTATCTAAGGCCCCAGAACCAGGTTAATAGAGGAACAGATCCTCTTGTTATGTGAAGAGTGAACTTGACACAGAGAAATCTGTTATGTTTGAACAGCTTTAAAAAAAAAAAAAAGTGCGTGAGAGTATCTAAGGCCCCAGAACCAGGTTAATAGAGGAACAGATCCTCTTGTTATTTTTTTTTACCACCTCTAGCTTCTTCTGCACTAACAGACCTACCAGCCTGATGGCACCAGGAATCCACAGTGCTGGGGCCAGGCAGCACAAGCTATCGCCACACCCTGAATTCATTCCTTATGTGTGAATGTTTACAGAGAAGTTGGTCTTGTACGACTCAATAAAGTGACTTGTATAGGAACTCAGCCTCCCCTGTTGGATGAAAATAGAGGGGACACTTGGGAATAAAATCGGCAAGTGACTTAGCAGAATCAAATGAAATGCAGAGTCTGCTGAGTGAAGCTGCTGACCTGAGTTAATGATTGTCTCGGATTCTGCTCCCGGTTCCAGACTGGCACGGCTGATTGTCTGTCCAACAACGTCTGTCCAGTACACCATCCTCTCCTGGCAGTCATAATCAATTCCCACGACTATGGAGCCCTTTGCGGATCAAATTATAGAAGTGGAAGAATTAGGATTCTTTTAATTTCCGGAGTTCACACACAGCTGTAGTAGGCAACCCTGCACTGTGGTCTTGCAGGCAGTGTAATAGAGTGGTTAGACATGGGCTATGGAGGCCAACTTCTTGGGGTCAAACCCAGGCTCAGCCAGTGACTTTAGGTACTTAACCTCTTTATGCCTTGGTTTCCTCATTTGCAAAATGAGGCTAAAAGCAGTACCTACTTCACATGGCTGTGATAAAAATTAATGCCATAAATGCTTATAAAGTGTCTTAATGAGTAATTAGTATATAGTAAGCACCTTGATAAGTGCTATTGCTGTTCATGGCAAGAACAAAGTGATTTCATGGGGAAAAAAAAAATATCAGCCCTTTCAGTGATTAGAGGACATAGTCTCAACATTGCCTATTTTACTGGGCAAAAAGTGAATCCTTTCAAATGTTACCAGCACTTTTTGGAAGAGCCTTTCTAAAGTTTCCCAACATGTGCCCACAAAAATCTACTCTCCTCTCCCATGCAAAGATGAGATCTTTCCCCTACCTGAGGTGTAATCACCTTTACTCTCACCCTTATCCCCACCTTTCCCCTACCTGAGGTGCAAGTCTTCAGTTGTACTCTGTATAAAAGAAAATCTATAATTTGATGAGTTAAATTGGGGAATGGTGGTTACCCAACCTATGGCTAGTAGGGTCTCCCCTCCTTCCTAAGTGCTAAATAAATGACAAAGTCTTTTTTTAAAATACTGTCTGTAATATTCTTTTCTTCAACTCCATGCAGTACTTGCTTCATTCAGTTTTCAGTCCAGACTCCTGCTCTGAAAAGCCCAGAAGATGTGCAAAGCCAACTTGTAGAGACCATCTGGCTATCCCTGAACATAGGAGTTCCCTCCTTGTCTAACAAAGCCTCCTGGGGTTTGGCTTGACTTATGCCTCTGGGAGAGTAGTCAGCACAAGAAAGACTGTATGAAGCAGGATTTGGCTCCTGTGGAAAAGTAGGCAGTTTATATGGGGGACGTAAGGTCAAATACACTTTTATTTAAAAATTAAAATTTTAAAGTTGTTTGTCCAAGACAAGAGTACACATTTATATGGGCTTCCATTAACCCAGGGAATCATGGGATTCATAAACCCATGTAATGACTTCAATGTGTTTTAGATAAAAGTTTCAGTTGAAGTAAATTTCCTTAAGATATGCTTATAACTCCTGTCTCATTTCTCTTTTCAGTTTCACCATCACTACATCACCAGCCTGCCCCTGTCAGGGGCATGTTCAGAAATGTAGTCAAGCCATCTGTCTTGGCTAGAAAGAAAGATGGTTAGTTTGAGGTGATGGCAACTTCTTAGTTTCTACCTCTTGCAGAGAAACTTTTACAAAACAGCAACCTAGAGTTTGCTGGAAAAAAACCCCTCCAAAACACAAATCTTAAAAGGAAGAAAAGGGCCGGCCCAGTGGCGCACTGCTACAGTGCACCGCTTGGGAGTGCGGCGGCGCTCCCGCCGAGGGTTTGGATCCCACATACAGACCAANGCTCACTGGCTGAGCGAGGTGCGGGCGCAGCACCGAGGTTTGCAATCCCGTTGCTGGTCCCTGGTCCAGGGCGCGACACTGAGGGTTGCAATCCGTTGCCGGACACGAAAAAGACAAAAAGGAAAAAAAACAAAAAAAGGAAGAAAAAAACATCTTTTTCTAGGGCGTGACACTGAGGGTTGCAATCCGTTGCCGGACACGAAAAAGACAAAAAGGAAAAAAAACAAAAAAAGGAAGAAAAAAACATCTTTTTCTGGTATTTAACCCTTCTACACCTGGATGTCCCAAAGGCATCTCAAAATTAGCAGATATAAAATGCCACATTT